GAGATAAAGATAAGAGGAATGGTTCATTACAAAGAAAAAAGGTTGCCAGTCAAATTTGACAATAGCTAGAGTAAAATTTTTGCACGATCCTAGTTACTCTGGAAAATTACAATGCTCTCCAGTTTGGAACACACTGATTATTTTTCAAAACTTGTGTGAGATTTTATACAATGAGAAATAACTCTTCTTGACAGTGGCATGTCCACCCAGGCTCGAGTGGTGACCCTCAGATTTCCTCTGTGTTACATCACCTTGTGCTAGACCACACCTTTCCTCTCTCCTCCCCCTTCTACACTTTTCCCTCCTCCACCATCAGTTGATCATCTGGCTTCAGAATCACTCACACAGGGACAGTTCACATTTCCCACCACCACAGTCCAGCCTCCCCACACCCCACAACCTGAGCTGCCGTCTCTCCCATTGATAGGGATGAACAGGCCCTACCCAACTCAAGAACCCTACCAACTTCCCTCCAGAAGTTATCCCCTCTCTCTGTGCATCAACAGTTTCCCCTCTAGCCTGGATTATTCTCTCCAATGAGCTCTCATTTCTCCCATTGCCCGCCACTCACTTCCCCATCTTCACTTTCCCAGCACAGCGAGGGAGTGGTCCATACCCACCGCCTCTACTTCCTCTCCTCCCACGCTTTCTCCAATCCACTCCAGCCAGGGGTGGTCCCTACCACTCCCCTCTATCAAAGACACCAATACCCTCCAGGTGACCAAGTTGAAAAGTCAGCAGTCTTGGCATAACTGAAGACTCCCTGATTCTCAAAATATTCTCTTTCACTTGGCTCCAATTCTTTCTCTCCTTTCCCTCATTGGCTGCTATTTCTCAGTCACTTTGGCCAGATCTCCTTCATCTTCTTCATCCGCTGAACTCTAAATGTTGGGAGTGCCCCAGGTCTCAATCCTCAGACCTCTTCTCTTTTCTCTTCTCTACTTATGTTTCCAGATTCTCTAAGCTGATTGACACACAGATTTCTGTCTCTAGTCCAGACCTCTCTCCTGAAGGCTAGGTTCTCATGTCTCATTGCCTACTCAACTTTTCCACTTAGATGTCTGGTGGGCCTCTAAAATTTACTACATCCAAACCCAAATACTTGAGCTTTCCTTCCATACCTGCTCCTCCTATAGCCTTCCCTGTCTTACTAAATGGAGTATCCATTAATCAACTGTTCATGCCCAAATCCAGAATTCCCTTTGGCTCCTCTTTACCTCACATCCCACAACTGAATAATCAGTAAATCCTGTCTGGTTTAATTTGAATATACATCTAGATTCCATTTATAGTCATCATTGTAGTCCAAATTACCATCACCTCTCTCTTAGCCTATCTCAATAACCTCAATAGCCTCCTAATAGTTTGTGCTTCCATACTCGTCCTCCCCTTCCACTTCACAAACAGAATGATCTCTTAGGAGTCAGGGCCAGTCATGCCCTTTCTCTGCAGAAATCCCTAAAAATGTCTTCTCGTTTCACCAAACTATAACCCTACTGGCTATCCCTCTGGCCTCATCTCTTGTTACTTTCCTTCCTATTCTTCTGTATCAGGCATAGTAGCTTCTTTGCTATCCCTGGAGCATGCCAAGTCCTCTCTACCTCAGGGCCTTTGCACTTGCTCTTCTCCATATCTGAAAAGCTTTTCCTCAGGATAGCTTCAGAACTTGCCCCTCACTTCATTCATATGTCTGCTCAGGTATTCTCATCAGGGACTCCTTCCTTGCTCCCACCACCCTATTTAAGAATGGCTCCACCCCTATCACTTCTGAGCTCCTTTACATACTCTATTTTCTTTTACAACACTCTTCACCCCCAGATATTATAACATACAACTTGATATTATATAATATTAACTATACAAATATTATTGTATATAGTTATATGTATATTTATATATTACACACACACACAGACACACACACACAGGCTCATTGTCTGTCTCCCTCTCCCACCCCCATCTCATCACTAGAATAAGAATTCAACATCCCAGCTTGTAGAACAGTGCCTACCACGTAATAGGTAGCCCCAAAATTGTTGAACAAATTGCCAAAGTTATTCAAATTTCATCAGTTCTCCCAAGTGTCACCTGTGCAGTGTTGAGCTGGAGTTTTATGGTTTAGATACACTTTGAAACATCAGATTTTGAAATAATAAACCCTACTCACAATTCTGAGGAATTTGCCCAATGAGTAGAACTCAGTTTCTTCTTAACAGAACTTCCTTTAATACATTTGTTCCTCCTGGTTTTGGCATTCTCCCTCTCTAAACATCTCACTCTGTTCTCTCTCACTGGACATTAACTTTGTCCTGCTATATCTTGTTCAAGGTACCACATTTAAAATTCTGCCTACTGTTCTGCCTAAGGGAAACTATTATATCTTCTCAACATCATCAGATCCTCTAATTGGGTGCTGGAGAGCAAGAAAATCAAGGACTTGTGAACTGCTCATTTCTTCTGTCTTCCTTTGCTCATTTTTTGTTTCCTGAATAATTCTCCCTATCTTATTTTACAAAATCAAGGAGATTTATAGAAATAATGTTTACTGACTTCAACGCTATGGTTCAAAGTTATTATCCCTGGAAATCATATCCTGCTTAGAAATGTATCACAGATGAACCCATATTCTGGATCAGTGCACACATGTAATTATATAGAAAAAAAGGTATGTCAGAAAAGGTTGAACGTTGCAGACATGGGAAATCAACTGACCTCTACTTAAGTTACTGCCATGAATACACAGAGAGAAGACCCTGCATCTGTTTCACATTGTAAATGCCTGAAGTGTCCAGAGCAGCACCATAAACCCAGGGAGTGGCCAGCAAATACTCACTATAAGGGTGCTAAGGCCGTCCATAGCCTAACCTCTGAGGTAGTACTGTTAAGAGAGTCCGGTACTAATTTCATATAATTCTGAATATGTTTTTATAGGCTTTAAATCAAGTAACCTACTTCTAACCACTGAAAAGGAAATAACTAACTCCTTACTAGGCTTCAAGCTCCTCAAAGGCAACGGTTTTGTCTTATTCACAGCCACAGAGCCACGTGATTGCAGTACTGGACAGGACTTTAGAGGTCAACTAGTTCTAATCCAACCACCTTGAATGACTAGGTAATACGACCTATCACAGTTTCGTTTGGTTTTTTCATCTCTAATCACTGTCCCATCTCATACATGAGAATTTCAAACGAAGCAAACTGCAGTCTGAGTCTTTGGCAAGTAGACTAATTGAAATGACCTAATAGCCTTTGTTGGACCCATCTGGGACCAGAAGCAAGGTGGCAGTACCGTTCCTCTCCTCCCCCCTCCGCATCCCACACCGATGTGCCCAACTCCTCACAGCTGGGCAATCATGGCTGGCTCGTAAAGAAACGAATTTGCATGGCCCTCACAGGGATCTTCTCAAGCCTGGCTCTAGGAAAACATCGACTGGTGCTATTAAAACGCACAAAGTTATCACACTGGCGCTCATGTACTTACAGGAATGAGGAATGCAGAAACATCACCATCCACAAGACTAAGAACTGGCCCTGCCAGGGCAGACCGGAGATCGGTCTTCTCGGTCCTGGCCAGGGCACCAGACAGGAACCTCAGAAGCAGGGTGTTTTGTCAACAACAACGGCACCAGACCCAAAGTCAGGAGACTGAGACCTGCTCCAAGCTCTGAGGCTTCTCTTCATCTGAAAACCGTAAAAGTTAGCAGACAGAAACTCTCCATGTGGTTCCAGACCTACAAGAGAGGCCCTGCAATGCTGTTAGGAAAATCAGCTTGGCCCCTTCAGCTTCCTTTCGTCCATCTCTTAGCTTTCCACACAGACGGTCAAAATGGGGCCTTTTAAAACTCTGCCTCAAAAGAAGGTGGTTCAGAGTAACACTTTGGCTGATATCACAAGACTCCCAGGGCAATGCTTCACTGCTTCCTCAGCATATGCCAGTGCCCATTTTACAGGGGGAGATTTATGATCCTTCCCTCAGTAGAGCGAGCCCAAGTTTTATAATATTCATTAAAAATCAGCACCACATGTAATAATATGGAATACTGCCGGGACACAAGGGGGCCAAGTTATAGGTGTTCAGGGAACGGGGCAGAATTCCTTGGCCTTGGCAAGGGTAACGTTGCAGGCGCTAGCACTGCACCAACACAACCGTCTTTTATTGCAATGTTCGTTCAGTCCAAGTCCTAATTACTTTCTGTGAAATCCTCACCACCATCAAGCTTTCTTCTGACAGGGCAGCCACACGATGGCCTTCAAGTACAGCAGCAACACCCGGGCAGCCTCCAGAGTAAGAGGCAGGGGAGAGCCTGGAACACAGTAGGAGTTGGGGCTGAAGCTGAGAGCGAGGCTCTTCATTTACACTTCGCAACTGCTCTCAACCCTTCTAAAACAAGTCGTGAGGGCTCACGGACTCGCTCAGTGCGACGGGCCGAGGCCCTCGGGTGAAGGATTCAGACGTCAACACAGCTGGTGGGTCGGAAGCTACTCTTCCTCTCCCCGCCCCCACTCATGGGGGACCCGGTTAGCTTTGTGGGGGCCCGTGGAGCATCTTTTCCCGCCCCTCCTGGGAAACGCTAGACAACCCAAGAATCCCAGGTCTCGACATCTGGCTCCTCTTCCTGGGGGGGGGTTGGGTCCTGGGCTCTGCACCCCTCCCCACGTGCCACACCAGCCCTCACCACTCCCCCCTCCACACCACAAGCCCCCAACCCTTGCCTTTCACGGCCCTTGCGAGTCCCGAACAAGGCCGGACCCAGCCAGGCGGTCAGCCGGGCCGGTAGCAGGGGGATCTCCCCGCCGCGCGGCTGCACAAAGCGGGGAGTGCAGCGGCGGCTGAGGCGCGCCCCCTCCCGCGAGCCGGCCGAGCGCGCGCGCCCGCCCCCGCCCCTCGCCCCCCACCCCAGCCCCCGGAGCGCCATTCGCGGAGCGGCTTACGCTAGTCGCCAGGCGTACGGCGCCCCAGCGGCCGGGGAGGTGCGCTGCCCGGCTCCCGTAAAGTTATTGTGAATGGGGAGCGGGTGACGTCAGCGCCGAATGTCAACAATGTAGCGATTGAGAGTGTGGGCGTTCCGGGGAGAGCGCGAGCCGCGCGGCGCGGAGCAAACAGCGCCGAGCCGCCGCCGCCTCAGCAGCAGCAGCAGCGACCGTGCACACCCGGGCTGCGGTCTCAGCAGCGCTAACGTGAGCGCCCGCCGCCGCCCTCGCCACCCCGCCTGCCTACTCCCGCTGCCGCCGGGCTCTCGCTTTCTCTCCGGCCTCCCCTCGACCCTTCCCCTCCCCCTACCCGGCACACACGGGGGGCTGGGAGCGAGCTGCCATGTGATGCGCGTCCTCTCGGTGAGCTTTTGGTGACCCCCGAACCGCCCACCGCGCCGGCTCCCTGGAGGGGGCTGCAGGCTGGGAAGACGCTGGGAAGAGGAGGCGGAAAAGGACGCAAAGTTCTCTGGCGAGGTGAGTCCCCGACCCCGGGTTCCGGGCCCCGGCGCCGGGCGGGGCGGCGGGGCAAGTTTGCGGGGGGCGCGGGAGCGCGGGGCAGGCGGGGAGGCGTGGGGAAGCGGCGCGGGAAGGGAGCTGCGGCCGCCCGGCGCGCAGCCGCCCGTCGAGCGCCCGGCCCGCTTTTATGGCATTTTCTAGGAACGGGAAGGGGGTGGGAGCCGAGCCGGCGGACGCGCCACGGCGAATATGCGCTCTTTCGCCAGGCTGTTTACGGCAGGCGAGGCGGCATTGTATTTTGCTCGCGTCGACGGGTGTTTTGGAACAGCAGGGGGAGGAGGAGCAGAGGGTAATAAGTCAGGCGTGGGGAGGGCAGGCTGGAGGGAGGCGCGCGTCCGCGCGAGCCGGAGCAGCTGTCAGACCCACGGCCCTGTTCCCGGCCCCCAGCCCGCGATCCCAGCGCCAGGCCCGGCGGCCTCCTCCTTGCCCGCGGCGTCCGCGCCTGGGGCTGTTCCGCAGGGACTGCGGCCGCCGAGCCTTCGCGCTCAGCTGTCAGTCGCCGCTGGGTGGCTAGGACCTCCGCGACTGGCGCGGCATCAAAGCCCAAGTTTAGGGTCCCGGGAAGAGGCAAGCTGGGGGCCTCGCAGCGCAGACCGCGGGAAGCGCGCTGGGTGGAATCCCTCCTAGAGAATGACCGCGTTATCGGAATGCGTCCCTGGGAGCTCGAACCGCGGGGGCTCGTGCCTTCCGACTGGGAAACCTTGCACCTTCCTCCCCCCAAGATTCTACATGAAATCAAAGTGCAACACACACACACACACACACACACACACACACACCCTCTTTTTCCTCCCCACACTTCAGTCTCCAAGCTCCACCTAGGAGAGGAGTTTATCGAGGAGACGCCTCTCCACCTCCCCGCGCCAAGGCTCCCTGTGATCGCTCCGTACTCCTCTCACGGGTGGGTGTGCTCAGTAGCCCAGTGCGGTTGGAGAGGGCGGCGGGCGGCGCTCATGGACTACCCCAGCTGCCCGCGAGAGGGGACTCGAGTGAGCATCTCGTCCACCTCAGTCTGGCCGAGGATTTGCAGGAACTCTAACCGTGGGAGGAAGCAGGCAGGGCCGAGTGTATGCCTGTGAAAGGGGCCGCGCACCCTTGGCTTCGGGGGTTGTGGACGTGCCGGGTATTCCCGGCACCTTCTCGCGTGTAGGCGAGTTTGACAACTTGCGGGAAGTTCCGGTGTAGGCGCTGTTCCGATGGTTTTGTCTGTGGCCGGAGAAGGCGCGCCTCCCAGCTCTCGCGCCCGGTCACCGCGGTCGCTGCGACCAGTGGCCCCCGAGAAAGGGGAGGGACGAGGGCGCCCCACCCCCTACTGAGCCGCAGACTCCCGGCGGGCCCGCGGGTTCCTCAGTTTTCACCTTCACTGTCTAGGGCTGCAGGCGCACTCTGTGTGTAAATTTCATCTGTTGAGCGTATTTAACTAAAAAGGGTAATTACTTCAGATGAAAATCCCTGTCTGCCTAGTGGGAACCTTGGCGGAGATGATGCCTAATGAGATATTTTGCTTTTGTCTGTTTAGAGTAAAATTAGAGATGTTAACTCTGATAACGGTTTTCTCAGATCATTAAAATGTAACATGTAGGAAAGGCATGTCGAGCCGCGAAGCTCTAGCTGACGTGAAAGAAGCTGCGCGTGAAAGGCTGCCACTCTCACCGCGGAGAGGGCTATTTTGGTAAGGCAGCGGGCGTCTTGCTGAAAATGTGAGATGGCCCCACCCTGGTTCTCTGGCAGCTTCCGAGTAAATGGCATTTTTCATTCTTGCAGGTAGTAATAAACGTGAGTCAAAGTGACATCTTGTTAGAATTAGTCTTTAGTCTGTAAGAGAGATTGCTAAATTACAGTGTTGCGTTCAAACTGCTCCAGTCTGTCAGCATTTCCATTATAAATTCAGGTTTTCAGGAGTTTATAATTTCACCACAAAACTTGTGGTGGCTCAAGTGTTTTTCCCTTCCAGTGTTTTGGTTTAGACAATACACTGATTGCCCAATTCTGCCCTACTTGTTGTTCCTGAAACTTGGAATGTCATACACGGGGGGGGGGGGGGGGGGGGGGGATCCCCCAAAATGGAATACACGACCATGAAATGAAGTACTTTTGTTAGAACACACTTTATTTATGCAGAGCAATATTTTCATTTTGGATTTTGGAAGGCTTTAGGTTTGACATTTAGTAATCTTAAGTGTGTTGAGTTAATTCCTCTGGTATCTGTTGATTCTGCAGGTGGATCGAAATATCAGTTCGTATTGTATATGCCAGGATTACACGGAAAAGCATTCTCTTCATACATGTGTATGTCTGAACTCTCAGCTAAATTATGAATACCCGTTTTAGTTACTTTTCTGTTCTTTGTAGATTGAATGTGAGGATCTGCCATAGAGAAAGGAGTAAGGCAGAAAGGGAGGGAGGGAATCAGAACAACCCACTCTCCCCCTCCCCAATTCACTTTTCAGTATCACTAATGCCTGGGAGGAAACCATTTATTCTCTTTCTATTGAATCATGCCTTTGACTCAGTGTCTTCAGACAAGTCCCTTCCAGTGGCTCAACCTCTGGCTGCTGTATGAGGGGCTTAATTATTTGCAAACTGCCTTGAAATCCCTGGATGAAAGGCACTGCATAAGTGCAAAGTATTGTTATTCAGATATGGAATTTAATGATCCATTACAGTTCATCAGGAAATGCACTTTGCAGTGATGGTAGGAAACGTTTCCACCTGATAGAGGGTAATAATAACTGCTTAAAAGTAGGTTCAGATTACAGATGAGACAATTAACTCTAGCCATGTGCTCTTCAATTTGTTGCAATTCATTTTGTGATCAAAGTGAGTCGCAGAGAGCCAGATGGTCAGGTTCATGTTCAAATCTCTCCTAGGCCAGCCCTTCACTTCTGGGCCCACTGTCTGCACGCCGTCGGGACTTATTCATTAGCGCTTGTGAGCTGTTCTGCAGAATGTATGATCGGGGACTCCTGTGATGCCAACAAAAGGGCTCAGGCCTATCTATATTGTTGGGAGCAGTTTAATTTTACTTGGATTAACTCACGCTTAGTGTCTCTGGTATGGATCCAGCCTTAACAAGGGAGGAAAGAGATCCTAGAGGCTCTCTAGCTCAGCTGTGTGGCGCTTTCATTCCCCTACCTTTTGTACCTCAGATTTCAGGCAGTATGGTATCTGGCTTGTTGCAAATGCTGGCTTCGTTGCTGAATGAATGACAGAATACTTAGAGAAATAAATACCCTTCCTGTTTTGCAGAGGGGGTGTGGTGTACGACCAGCTTTGTGGGCATGTGCTTGCTCTGTTGCATCCTCCTCCCCTGCTCAGAAGGATCTCACACTTGGTTGAATCTTCTGTTGTTAATCGTCTTGAAATCCTTAATAATTCTTGAATTCAGAGCCCTTCATTTTCATTTTTCACTCTCCTGGTAAGGAGGGGGGCGTAGCATGAAGGGGCAGGCGACCACTACTTTGTCTCGGCTTCTTGTCATGGACTGTTGCCAGGTAGGAATGGGTGGGAATACTGGCTTTGTGTTACCATGTCATCTGATTTATCCAAGAGGAGCTGTTTATCTGGACTTTTACATGGAATTCTTAATTTTTAAATATTAGCTCAAAATTTTTTAAATGTTGGATGAAATACACAGTTGCTAGACCTGGCCTGCAGGCAGCCTGTCTTCTACCACTGAACCGGCTAAAACATCTTACTGTTTAATTTTTCTGTATATGGCTATTTTCTGAGTGCCTGGCACATAGTAGATGATCTATGAGTCTCCACCAAATAAATGGTTGTAGCCATCCAAAAAGTTGCAAGATGCAAGAAAAACAGAACTTGAAATCCACACTGAGTCCCCCTCAGGGATTGATAACTTTCTTTTTGAGAGAGAATGCAACATGAAAGGCCAGAGACTTAATACCATGGGCACCATGTAATCCTCTGCAGGTACATAATCCCATTGCTTTTGAATAACCTTGTTCTCTATGTAGTTGTTATTGACCAGATGGGGTAACTTGGCTATTTATTGCCTGAGGACCTACATGAGAAATTGACATTTGAAAACATCCACTAAAATAATAGCTATGATTTGTTGAATGCTCCTTATGTGCCAGAAACAGTGTTAACTAATTTACCTGTACATATCTCATTGACTCCTCAAAGCAACCCTGTGAAGTAGGCATCGTGCCCATTCTACAGAAGAGGAATTTTCTCATTTTATGTTGCAAAGAATTTCATCTGGATGCAGTGTGTGTTTTCTTGACTGCCTAAAGGTTTTTCCCCATCCTGTATACACAGTCCAGCCCTGAGTCAGTGACTAGGTGTGAGGTGGGGACCATAGTAAACAGAGGACATGGTTCCTACTGTCCTGTACAGGGAACAGAAAACAATACTAGATGCAACATCTTTGTCAAAACCTACGTTTATACAGCAAACACTGCATCTGCCTCTCTGTTCCTCCCCTTTTCCTAACTGGATGTTAAAGAAGCTCCAGTGACATAGGACCCTACCAGAGGCACTGGAGGATTGGAAGCCAGGGCTGGTTGTAAAAATTTGCATTTTGGGGGAAAAGAAGATAAACTTCTGGCTCCACTGGAGCCACGTTAGGCAAAGCAGCAGCAAGTCCTTGGGAATGACAGAAAATCACTCCTGTTTTGTCAGTGACAGCATATGACCTAGTCCTGGCCCATCTTTAAATTTTATGTAAATATTTACAAATTGTTCTTCTCCAAACTGAAACCTGCTGTGAACTAAATATTTTGTAAATTCAGATAGATTGCCCACAATATCCTTTTTTTTTTTTTTTGGTCTAAGACATTTCATAGAAAAGTAGTTTTCTTTGCCAATTCAGCATTTTTTTCTTTTATTTTTTCCCCTTTTCTTTTCTCTTTCTTTTTAATTTCAGATGTCAGTCTACCTAAAACTGAAACCTAATCTTACCATCAGCATGCTGCTCAGCTTCCCTAATGCTG